AGCTGGAATAAGCTATGGGGTAATTGCCAATCGCATAACTACAAAAAACCTAAGCAAAGTAGTAAATGGCACTTCAGACCAGGTAGCCTTGCCATTAAGGACTTGCAAAACTCCTTGTCGCCCCTTGCCTGTATGGTCATGGACCACCGTCTAGCCCTAGATTTTCTTTTGGCTAAACAAGGAGGGGTATGTGCCATCTCCAATACTTCCTGTTGCACATATATAAACACTTCAGGCATTGTAGAGGAACGTGCAGATTACATTCTCCAACAGGCTAAGTGGCTCAGAGAACAATCCCTCAAAACTTAGATAACCACACAGGTATGGAATCAAATTAAATCTTGGCTCCCCACCAGGACATGGTTCGTACCCTCTCTGGGGCCTATAGTTGCCATTATTCTCTTACTTGTGTTTGGGCCTTGCACTTTAAACTTACTTGTCAATTTTGTTTCCTCTTGCCTAGAATCCATCAAACTACAGATGCCCCTGATGGAGAAGTAAATGACATACTATGGCAGTCCCCTTGATAACCACTCTTGTGGTCAACCCTGATGCTGCAGGCCCCTTCATCGCCCCCTGTCAGCAGGAAGCAGTCACTGAATAAACTTTATTTTCCCTATTCCTAACAGCAGTTAGGGCAATCACTGAGAGGGGGGACTTGAAGGGCAGACGGCAGGAGGTCCCGAAAGGTGACAATTATCCAGAGAGACTTTTCTCCCTCCCAAGAAACATCTGTTCATGCCAGAGAGACACCTCCACACTTGGGCAATAAAAAAAAGCTATAAAACCTGATTTCCAACCTGACCCAGCAGACCACTCGTTTCAGGATCCCACTGCATGACACCATGCAGCCTTTCTTTTCTCTTCTCTATGAATAAAACTTCTCTGACCTTTGCTTCTTGAGTCCGTCTTTGATTTCTATCTAAGAGCAGACCAAGGACGCTCACCACCCGAGCTCCCCTCCTTATCATCACCTGGTTCTTCCCTTCCTGTAGGTTTTAAAAGCACTGGAGAAGGAAAGCATGGTCTCAGTCTCCATATTCCACCTGGAGCCTACGAGGCTCCCCTTCGTATTTCCCTTCCCCAATTTTTAATATACTCCATTGACACCCTCATGCCCTGCCATGGATTCCTCCTGGTGGGACACAAAAAAAATTGGAAGACTTCTGGTCACAGACTCCACCAGTCACCAAAAAGACCTGAGCAAACTGCACTGGCAGTGTTGCTCAAGCAGTAGCATTTGGTTTCTGTGAAGCTCTGAGACCAAACCCTAGTCCCATCCATAAAACAAAGAAACAAATCACCAAGTATGACTAAAAACTAAATAAATAGATAAAAGTAAAAATGAGGCAAAATAAAAATAGTAATAAGAGATAAAAATGGAGAAAAATGATCCAAGAATTCTTCCAAAGAAGAGAAAAATGTTCCTGCTTTCCACTCTTGCTCACTATATTGCTTGAATTCCTATGTAGGCCAGAGCAATGCTTACACCTGTGACCAGTTTTTTGTTGTTGCTGTTGTTGTTTGTTTGTTTTTTGTAAGACCCAAAACATGAAACTATTATAGAAAAATGCATGAAGATATGGGCAGAGGCAAGAACTTTCTGAATAGGACTCTAATAACTCAGGAAATTGGAGCAACAATTGACAAAAGCGATTGCATCTGATTAAAAAGTGTTCCATCAAAGGAAGCAATTATCAGATTAGGAAAAAGCACACAGAATGGGACAAATTTTTTCCAGCTGTTCATATGTAAGGGATTAATATTCAGAAGATATACAGAACACAAAGAACTAAACAGCAAAGGACAAATAACCCAATCAATAAATGTGCACATGAACTGAAGAAACAGTTGTGAAAAGAAGAAACACAAACAGCCAGTAAAGACCTGAGGAAATGATCGACATCCTCAGCCATAAAGGAAATGCAAATCAAAAGGACATTGAGATTCCCCTCATTGCACCAGGAGTGGCCATGGTCAAGGAAACAACAACTGCTGGTGAGAATGTGGGGGAAATGGATTCCTTTCACGCTGTGGGTGGGAATGGAAATTAATGAAGTACTATGGAAATCACTATGGAGGCCTCTCAAAAAGTGAAAAATGTGACTGAGGCAGGAAAGATGGATGAGGAAACAGGGAATTGATATCATTTTAATCAATATTTAAAGGGCCAGGTGCTAGCATTGGAACAAGTAAGTAAAGGCTGAAAAGAGAAAGCAGCTTGACTCCTCCCATCTCCTTTTAGATGCTAAGTTACAGGAACAGGGAGACAAACCAGAGCTTCCTGCTTCTGCTGTCCTCTTTGAGATGTTAAGAAGCTGCAAGTCTCCTTGGATGTGTGTAGAATAACCAAAGCGAAATTCGAAATCACACCTATTGTCTCTGATCTGGGTGGGCCAGGATGGACCCCTCCCTGTTTTAACAGCCATCTCCACCATCCACATCCGTTATCTTTGACTATGTGTATTCCTCCAGGTCTTGAGTATAAGATTAGGAGATGGGGACCACCATCTTGAACGTTTGCTCTCATTTCATAGGTGAGGAACAGGAAATGTTTTCTTTTTCTCTCCTGCTCCCCTTGTCCATACTTTATCCTGTCATGGTAAAACAAATTCTTGCTAAAACTTCCACCCTTGAGAGTCCTTGTCATGAGACACCTTGAAATGCTTTTCAAAGTGTGAGAATCAACTAAAGTTAGGTCCTTTCTGTCAAAGGATTTCATGTATATATGCCACCTAACCTGCCTGAATTGAGGCCTACATGCTTTGTGAAATGTCGCTTGACCCTGCAAGGTTCTTATGGTCAGACAAAGAGCAGTTTAATGCCAGATGCCCTAACTTCAAACTGCTTGGTGAGTAAAGTGCCAGCCCCTGTCCCCTATCTTCAAGGGAACTTGAAAAATCACTTTCTCACTGCACTGTAAAAATGTCACTGCCTCTGAAAACCTTGTTCTTACCTCAAACAGTAGCTAACCAATTGGGAACATTGGGAACCCAGAGAGATAAAAACTGAGTGGCACACACACACACACACACACACACACACACACACACAGAGTGTGTTCTTCCTATCGGACTGTGGTCTGTGACTGCACCCTTCCGCAGAAATAAAACTTTTTTTCTTGCTGAGTGACTCCCCTGTGTGTCTTTGATCACTGTTTGGGAAAGGCAATTCTAACAAATGCTTATGGATCTCACGAACCTCACATTGTTAGGTGCTGGTATGAAATACTGTGGGCTGGTATTGGGGTTCTTGCCTTCACAGGCCAGAGAACTGGCTCATGAGGAAGGTGTTTGACTTGTGAGGCAAGGCCCACACACAAAGTAGGATTTATTAGAGAGAAAGAAAAGGCTACAGCTAGAGCAGTGCAGCGGAGCCCAGAAACTGGTGGCTCCCTGCTCAAGTGAAAGCTGGGGCTTTTATGGACACTTTAACTCTGGATTAGAGTTAAATGTTTTGTTTTGTTGGCTGTGGATTTGCTCACAGGGGCTCTCCTAGATGAGCTGCTCTGTTTGCCCCTTATTGGGGGGGAAACAACCTCAAGAGCATTTTGTTTATCAGCCCCATGGCAGATTTGTGAGACCCTGTATCTCCTCCTCAGGGTGCAGGAATGCAGATTTACAATTCCTTCTCAGGGTGCAGTGCTCTTAGTGCTCTCCATAGGGATGGGCTACTCACTCATCTGCCCTTTAGGTCCCCAGACCCAATAACATTTTGTGTGGAACTGGGAAGCTGAGGGACTCCCCTCATCTGTCTTCTGGTGACACAGCTACTACATTACTGTGTTATCCTGCTTTACCTTCCCTGGGTATATATGCAAAGAAATGCAACATGAACACTGATGTTCATAGCAGCTCTATTGGAAATAGTCAAATTATGGAATCAGCCTACATACCCTTCATCTAAGGAATGGATAAAGAAAATGCAGTGTATTTATAGAATCATGAAGAGATTTAAGTAATGTCATTTGCAGCAACATGGATGGAAGTAGAGATCATCATGATAAGCAAAGGAAACCAGACTCAGAGAGACAAATGTCACATGTTTCTTCTCATATGCATCATCTACAGCTTTCACGTGAATGTCCAAGGGGCCTGAATGGGGTGGAAATCATGGGGAAAGAGGCACAGAAAGGGGAATTTGATGAGAGCATGAACATGAAGGAATGCATTACATACACCCCTGAAAACAGCAAGATGAAATGCACTAATAATTCTACAATGAGGGGAGGGAAGGGGGTGGTAAGAAGGAGCAAAAGATGGGGTGAAAGTAATGAAAGTACATTATTTGGTTATATAAGAAGAGCGCAATGAAACCTCCTTCTACAATTAATATACACTAATAAACACATTAACACTCAAGGGGAAAATCACATAATGTGTATAGACTATATATGTTAATATAAATCAAAAACAGAAATAAAGAATCCAAGTTGTGGCCTGGAGGTGTTACTCAAGACATAGAGAGTATGCCTAGCAAGTGTTGACTCCCTGAGTTCAAACCTCAATACCGCCAAAAAAAACCAAAAAACAAAAAAACATCCTAACATAAATGGAAAACACAGTGTATTCAGGAAAAGGCATGTAATTTATTTCTTTTTGCTAAATCAATACCCGATTAATTTAGGATAGAACAAACACGTTTTTACAAACAGGCACTTTACTGCGTGACCCATGCCTCCAGCACCACAATCGTCATAGAAGTGCTGATTTCAAATGACAGCATGAGTGGTAAGTAGCAAGTGCCTGATCTGAAAAATTCGGACAGGTTTGGCTCAACGCAGGGTCAGGTTTAGCGTTTGGCTAAAGGCTGGGTCAGGTTCGCCCAAGGGGAGGAAGCCCGGACTGCAGAGAGAATTGTGAGAGGAATCTGATTTGGATTCTGCCGATCTGGGTAGCTGACAGGTCTTCTGTCACTCAGGCTTGAGTTGGGAGGGGCCTCGATGATTAGCCAATCAGAAACGTTGTTCTATGTCAACAAGAGCTGTCCAATGAGGAGCGTGGATATAGGCAGACATCCGCTATCCTAAGCTTGTTTGTCCTTTCGGCCACCGCCATTTTTGAACAGTGTATGTGAGGTGAGACGCTCCAGGTGTCCCAGCTTCTTCAGCTCTGTGTCCCTCTGACTAAAGGAACCTAGGGACGACGCTGGGACGCCCGGAAAGCCGGGAAATGGTGAGGTTTCGGCCGGGGTCGCGGAGCAGCGGCGGGGGCCGGCGGGAAGCGGTGGTGGCGGATGCGGCCCCGGTGTGCGGTCCGCGTCCCCGCCGGCTGCGCTCGGCCCTCGCTCCTCTGGGCGCAGGGTGGGGCTGGGTCGGCACCGGGACAGCGTCCGTCCCCTTTGCGATGCGAGCGGCCACCTCGGCCGCCCGGAGCCCTGTGCGCGGCTCGGCCCCGCGTGTCCCCACGGCGCGGTGACGGCGGCCATGGCGGCTCCTGCCTCGTGCGGGGTCGTGCGCGGGGCGCGCTGTGGGTCCCCGCGTCCCCTCGGTGGCGCCGGGTCTCCTGCGTCTTCAGGGTCGGGGGAAAGGCCGTCCTGTGCAGCTTGGCGGAGGGAGGGGAGGGGACTCCGCGCCCTCTGTGACGTCACGGTCACCTCTGTGACGTCACCGGGTCTTAAGGAAAAGCTGATGGGGAGGGACAGTATTTGAGGGGGGCGTGGCAGCAGGGGCGTCGCAGCCCATGTCAGGTGAGACACCTGGAGCCGGTGGCTCTTGAGTGAGAGGAGAGAGGACTTAGGGGACACTGGGGCTGTCCCAGCGGGGGCGGACACTGCCTCACAAGGTCCATGCGGAACGGAAGCACGGCAGCGATTTGCGAGGCGGATCCCACATAAAATCGCAGCGTTCCTTACATCGTCATGAGGCCTGGGCCAAAAGCCATAGGGCAGGAGTTTCACAAAATGTGGTGACAGAATATTGTCACATAGAGGCTAAAAGCAGGTCAGTAAGGGTGTAATGTCTCGAGGTCACTGACTTTATTGTCTCTCGTGGATTTTTCAGCCATTTGTCCTTTTGTCTGTCACAGCTGCTTCTGCTGCTCCTGCTTCTCACTGACAGTTGTGTGGGTGGCAGCTGCCTGTACTGAGGCGACCTTGGCTAAGGCCCTCTCTTGTGGAATGCCTTGGATGTTAGGTGCCTTAGCTCCTCTAAGGCGAGGGTGAATGGGCTGTTCACTATAGGGAGGAGCAACCAGGACTCAAAGATAGTGAGGGTCACTCTGTCCCCTGAGGTCACTCTGTCCTTCAGGTGACAGAACAAGAGAAATGTGTCCCGGCCCAGGCCAAGGATGGGTCAGACATCCCACGTCTGATGGAAGCAAGAAACTTAAGGAGAGTTGGTATTATTTTGATTTTTGCAATCAGTTCAGCCACCCATGCTTGTTTGTTCATCTTCTTAGACAGTGTTATCACTTTGGACCATGGACGTGTGTATTTGTTCCTTCTGAATATGTACGCTTACTTTCACATACTTTTAAACCTTATTTATTTTGTGTTCCTGGCTGCTGAACTTAGGGTAGTCTTATTTAATATTAGATAATCTGTAGCTTTCTTAGTCCAAAGTACTTCAGCATTGTTAGGCATTTATTATACCTAGTATATTAAAGGATTTTTTTTTTTGGTATGTTTTGTTTTGTTTTTTGGATTGTTTAAAAGAATGATTTAAAATTATAGAATTTTTTTTTTTTTTTTGGTGGTACTAGAGTTTGAATTCAGAGCCTCAGACTTGGCAGGCAGGAGCTCTTACTGGTTGAGCTATTCCACCAGCTCTTTGTATGTGATGGATTTTTTTCATGATAGGGTTTTTTGAACTGTTTGGGTTGACTTCCAACCTCAGTCCTCTGGGTCTGTCTCCTGAGTAGCTAGGATTATATGCTTGAGTCCCTGGCTCCCAGCTGAAATTATAGAATTTCATATATCTGTTTAGCTGACAAATCTTGGTGACAGTGAGCTGTTTCTTAGGGCATTTGCCATCCCTTCCCTTGTTTTACCTGTTGATATTCTGGCATAAAGGTATAATTTTTATTTGTGGACATACTGAATTATCCTTTCTGAGTCCTGTGTACTTTTTCATTCAGAGTAATCTGCGTGAACACAAGTACAAACATCCAATTTCTGTCTCTCAGTTTAGTCACAGAGGCTGTATTCCCTTCCCTGAGAAGCAACTTGGTTTTTTGTTGTTGTTTTGTTTTTCTTTTTGTTTTTGTTTTTGGAGGGACTAGGGCTTAAACTCAGTGCCTGATATTTCCTAGGCAGGTTCTCTATCTCTTGAGTCACTAGGCCCAGTGCTTTCTGTTGGAGATTTTTGAGATACTGTCTAGCAAACTATTTGCCTGGCTTTGCAAGGATGGATGTAGAAATCTCTCAGGAAAGGCATGGTGGTCCTTTGGCAGGCCTAACTTGCCTCATTCACTCAGGCAAGTCCAGGAAGCAGCATGTGAACTAAGACTTTTTTTTTTTTGTAGAGACAACAATGTGTAGAAAATGTATGTTTCCAGCAAGTAATGACATCTTTTACCCTGCTATCTCTCAGTTTGTTTGAATGGCAAGAAAGTGAACCCCACCCCAATGTTACTTTACCTGCCCTGATTTTTCATCCCAGCCTGTTCTGGTAGCTCTCTGTTTCACATCCTGGTATTTCCATCCTTAATCTAGATAGACTTCGTAGGCATGGGAGGCTGAGAGGTTTTGTGTGTTCTGCATTGAGGCTCTCTGGGCATACGTGATGTAGTCATGACCTGGAGTAAGATATATTCAGAATGAGCAGAAAAGTGTCCCCAAAGTTTATACTTCAGTATGAGCATATGAATTGTACTGGGGGTACATTGTGGCATTTACAAAAGTGTTTACAATATATCTTCAATAGATTCATCCCCTCCATCTTTCTCCCTTATCCTCCCTCTGCCCTTCAGTGTACTTTTGGAAAATCCTATCAAGATCACTGATAATACTGGTTTCTTAACAATTTATGAAGACTTCAGTTATAAGAAAGAAATTGCTGTGGGTAGTGTCACCTGTACTTGTATCATTTGTTAATCCTTAAATAATAAAAAAAAATCCTCCAAAACAGTTCTGCAGTCCATTTTACTGAGACAAAATATTTCCTCTTTCTATGAGATTGGCTTTAATTGCAGCATGTCCTCTTTGAGGTATGAATTTCTCAGGATTGTGCTGAGACTACTGGTATTTACAAAGGTGACAGTTTAGAATATTCTGTGTGTGTGTCCTCAATGGTCAAATACTGTAACAAAAAAGACAAAAGGATTCGGTCCTCACTGAAGACATGAGTGAATCCTGGATGACCCTTTCAAATGAATAATTTAACTTGAGTGACAAGAGAGTCTCAGAATGAAGAAAGGGGCAGCCGCAGTGCTTAAAAAGACAGGCTGCTGGGCAATGGTAGCCCATCTCTTTAATCCTAGGTACATGGGAGGTTTGCAGTCCCAAGCAGCCCTGGTACATAGTTCGAGAGACCCCCATCTCCACACTTACCAGAGCAAAATAGACCAGAGGTATGGTTCAAGTGGTGGAGAACCTGTTTTGCAGGTGTGAAGCCCTGAGTTCAAACCCAAGTACCACCAAAAAATAAAAAAGAAAGGGCTATTTATATAGAGTGTATAATTTACCGCTCCCAAACAAGTTCATGAATCCTGGATGACCCTTTCAAATGAATAATTTAACTTGAGTGACAAGAGAGTCTCAGAATGAAGAAAGGGGCAGCCGCAGTGCTTAAAAAGACAGGCTGCTGGGCAATGGTAGCCCATCTCTTTAATCCTAGGTACATGGGAGGTTTGCAGTCCCAAGAAGCCCTGGTACATAGTTCGAGAGACCCCACTCCACACTTACCAGAGCAAAATAGACCAGAGATGGTTCAAGTGGGAGAACTGTTTGCAGGTGTGAAGCCCTGAGTTCAAACCCAAGTACCACCAAAAAATAAAAAAGAAAGGGCTATTTATATAGAGTGTATAATTTACCGCTCCCAAACAAGTTCATGCTTCAGTGATGGTAGGATCAAAAACAGTGTTTCACATGGGTAGGTGGGAATTGTAAATGCAAATCTGCCTAGGAATCATGAGGCCTTGAGTTACTCAAACCCCAGTAAAGTCTATATTAAAAGAATAATAAACCAAAAAGAAACCAGTTAGGAGCTTTCAGATGTTGTCTTGTACTCCAGTCACAGTGGATGCACTGGATTTCCTACATAACTGGTGCAGACAATAGATTTGACTTTCTGTCTGTCAGATTAGCTCATTAGAGTTTGATCTTCCAGCATGTCCTTTAGGGACTGACAGGTAGCCTCCCTCTCATGATCATGTCAGAATAGAAGCACTCAGAGGGAGAGGCAAAAGAAACTACAGAAATAGAATATTGATCATGCAAACTATTTCGAAACATTGAGTCCTTCTTTGTCTGGCTGATGAGGGCCATGCCACCGAAGTTACCATGTCTCAGACAGGGTTGAACTTTGTGCTCAAACATTTCTTAGAATACATAGTCTCGATCTTCCTCCTTGAAATACACTTGTCATGTTTTAGGTGTCTGTGACCTTTGATGATGTGCGTGTCAAGTTTACCCTGGAAGAGTGGGCTTTGCTGGATCCTTCACAACGGAAGCTGTACAGGGATGTGATGGTAGAAACCTTCAGGAACCTGGCCTCTGTTGGTAAGAATGACTTCACTCCCTTAGTCAATGAGGGAACTAGTGTTTGTCGTCATCAATGCTGCTCCATGATTTGGAATGTGGAAACCATAAATTCAGAGAATATACCAGTTGTTGGCACATTACACCTATATATAAGCCTACTTAGAACCTAAGAGTTTTCCTATAGTAATATAGTTCATAATGTTCTCTTTTCCTGTCTCCATTTTAGAAAAATCAGAGGAAGATCAGACCATTGATGGCATGTATAAAAATCCCAGAAGAAACCTAAGGTAATTTCCACTCCCGAGAGAAACCAGCTGAAACACTAAGGGAAAGGAATGTGAAGGGGAGGTCACTAGTGAGAGGGAGAGGGCAAATGAAGGTGGTAAAGGAGGGCGAGTGTGGTTGATATGTGGGGTTTTTTTATTTGTTTGTTTTGGTCAGACCATGGTTTGGGGCTTTGCGCTTGTTGGCAGGCACTCTTAACACTTGAGGTACACCTCCTCCATTTTCCTCTGATTAATTTGAAGATGGAGGTCTTAAGAAATACTTGCCCTAGCTGACCTGGAACTTGGATCCTCTCAGTCTCAACCTACAAATTAAATAGGATTGCAGGAGTCACTATTGGTGCCCAGCATGGTTGATTACTTTCTATACATGCACTTAAATGGGATGTTGAAATCTGTTCATGTTATTTTAAGATGGGGAATAGGGTAAGAGGAAGAATAATGGAGGGAATGAACCAAACTGGGATATAATGTATGTACATATGGAAATGTCACATCAAGACCCAGGTGTAACTATCTTATAGCAATAAAAAATGTTAAAAAGAGAAAGAGACAGCAAAAGCATAATATCTTAAGAGTCAAAGAGACTATAGGTGTTGCTGAAGCCCTGAGTTCAAACCCTAGTACACAAATATGAATCAAAAGAGTCAGGGGAAAATTGTATTTTTAGGGTGAGTGGGAGAAGGTCTCTACTGGGTATTGAACCAACACTTCCAGCTTGCTACACAGGCGCTCCACCACTTGAGTCATTCTGACAGCTACAGTAAAATTTCCCAACAAGAAAGCCACGTTATGGTTGGTGGAGTGACTCAAGCAAAGTGTTAGACTGCTGGCCCAGCAAGTGTGAAGCCCTGTGCCAATAAAAAAAAGAAAACCATATTAAGATGCCCATGTCCAAATTTATTTAAGTTAAAAATTATCTTCAAAAATGCATGTAGGTTGTGCATCCATAATCAGAAAATTACCAATTCATGTTGGGGACCAGGGACACACACCTGTAATCCTAGCTTTTGGGAGGTTAAGATCAGGAGGATCGTGGTTCAAGGCCAGCCCAGGGAAATAGTCACTGAGACCCTGTATCCAAATGGAGTGGAGGCATGCCTCAAGTGGTAGAGTATCTGTTTTTTAAGCAGCATGCCTTGAGTTTAAACCAGAGTCTTACCAAAAAAAAAAGGAGCAGGTGTCAGTAGCTCACACATAATAATAGCTACTTGAGAGGTACAGATTTGGAGGATTATACTTCAAAGCCATCCTTAAGCAAATAGTTCTCCAGACCCTAACTTAAAAATACCCCACACTTAATAGGGCAGACAGAGTGGCTCAAGTGATAGAGTGCCTGCTTTGAAAGCATGAGGTCTGAGTTTAATCCCCAGTACCAAAAAAAAAAAATCCAAATCCAAAATTTTCCAGTATTGGAAACAAGTAACAACATGATTCCCCAAGTAATAATTTCTGTTATTTTAATATACAGAAACTTATTTCATGCAATTAATTGTAAAAAAAAATATTGCATGAAATTACTTTTAGTGTGTGGATATATGGTGATTGTGAAGAAAATGAAGTTTGTATAGATTGGGGCCTATAACCTTCAAGACACCTTATTACTATTATGTACGTATTTCAAAATCTAAATGATTTTATTACCACATTATTCCATACACAGTACTCAAATGCATTTAAATGTAAAGTAGATAGAGTTTGCAAAATATTGGGAAGGATTCTTTCGTACCTATAACAATACTACTTGTTTGATAATATCTGTCCTGGAATCATCCTGCATGTTCAAAAACTTTATAAGCCGTAAAACTATTGTCTGACAAGTCATTAAAAAAATACAAAGTTAGTAATGTGCTTCTCATTATTTCTAGAAGACAAGTGGTAGGGAGACTCTGTGATAATGAAGGTATTCCATGTGGAGACATCTGCAGCCATACCTCAGATCACATTGTGAACCATAATACTCCTACAGGAGTGGAACCAAGTGAAGGCTGTGTGTGTAAAGAAGTCTTCATCAGACATTCATCTCTGAGTCTGCCCTTCAGGACTTACAGTGGACAGAAGCCAGATGAGGATCAAGAACATGGAGAAAAGCCATTTCAATGTAAGGATTGCGGGAAAGCCTTTATTGCTTCCAGATTCCTTAGATGGCATGAAAGAAATCACACTGGAGAGACACCCTTTGTATGTAAGAAGCCTGGCAAAGCCTTGGTTTGTTTGAGTGACCTTCACAAACATGAGCTAACTAACAGTGGAGAAAAACCCAATGTTTGTAAGCAATGTGGGAAGGCCTTATCTTTGAGTGCTGTTGAAAAACAGGAAAGCACACACAGTGGAGAGAAACCCTGTGTATGCAAGCAATGTGGAAAAGCCACTTCCCTTAAAATACAAAAAAGAAATCACACTGCAGAGAACCATTATGCATGTAAACAGTGTGACAAAGTCTTCTTTTATTTAAGTCACGTTCAAGAACATGAAAGAACTCACACTGGAAAGGATCCCTATGTATGGAAACGATGTGGGAAAGCATTCTTCTATATTTGTGACCTTCAACACCATGAAGAAAGTCACACCGGAAAGAAACCCTGTGTATGTAGACAGTGTGGGAAAGTGTTCTATTCATCCGGTGTCCTTCAAAGGCATGAACAAACTCACAGCAGAGAGAAACCATATGTATGTAAACACTGTGGGAAAACATTCTTCTATCTTTTTTACCTTCGAAATCATGAACGAACTCACATTGGAGAGAAACCCTACATATGTAAACAATGTGGGAAAACATACTGTTCCTCCAGTGACCTTCGAAAACATGAAAGAACTCACACCTGTGAAAAACCCTATGTATGCAAGCAATGTGGAAAAGCCTTTAGTTCTTCCAGTTGCCTCAAAATACATGAAGTAATTCACACTGGAGAGAAGCCCTTTGCATGTAAGCAATGTGGAAAAGCCTTCTTTTATTTGAATAACCTTCGAAAACATGAACGCACTCACAGTGGTGAGAAACCCTATGTGTGTAAACAATGTGACAAAGCCTTCTATTATTTGAGTCACCTTCGAAAGCATGAACGAACTCACAGTGGAGAAAAACCATACATATGTAAACAGTGTGGGAAAGCTTTCTGTGATCTTTCTCATCTTCGGCATCATGAACAAACTCACACTGGACAGAGACCCTATGTATGTACTCAATGTGGAAAAGCCTTTAGTTCCTCCAGTTACCTCAAAACGCATGAAAGAATTCACACTGGAGAGAAGCCCTTCGCATGTAAGCACTGTGGAAAAGCTTTTAGTCTTTCCATGTCCCTTAAAAGACATGAACGAAATCACACTGGAGGGAAACCTTATGCATGTAAACAATGTGGGAAAGCCTTCTATTCTTCCAGTGACCTTCAAAGACATGAACGAATTCATAGGGGTGAGAAACCCTATTTGTGTAAGCAGTGTGGAAAAGCCTTAAGTTCATCCAGTTACCTCAAAATACATGAAAGAAATCACACTGGAGTGAAACCTTACGCATGCAAGCAATGTGACAAAGCCTACATTTATTTGAGTAACCTTCGAAATCATGAACAAACTCACAATGGTGAGAAACTTTATATATGTAAGCAGTGTGGAAAAGCTTTTAGTTGTTCCAGTTACCTCAAAATACATGAAGGAATTCACACTGGAGGGAAGACCTTTACATGTGAGCACTGTGGAAAAACCTTTAGTTCATCCAGGTACTTCAAAACACATGAAAAAATTCACACTGGAAAGAAACCTATGTATGTAAGCAGTGTGGGAAAGCCACTCTGAGTTTGAATGTCCTTCAAAGACATGAACTAAGTCACAATAGAAATTATTCCTTCATTTGTAAGCCATGTGAGGAAGCCTGCTGTCCTTTGCATGCTGTTAAAATGCATGAGCAAATGCCCAGCAGAGAGAAACCATATGTACATAAGCATTGTTTTCTGTTGTCCAGAACTCTTGTGAGTACTTTTATTTTTTTAGTAATGCTGGATTTGAACTCAGGGCCTCACCCTTGCTAGGCAGGCCCTCTATTGCTTGAACCATTCCATCAGCCCTCTTACATTTTTGTTTTTTCTTTTTAGGGGGGTGTGGTGACTGGAGTTTGATCTCAGGGCTCCTCCCACAGCCTGGCTAGAAAGACTTTCTTAACTATTTCAAACACCTTCTAGATTAACAAGTATCTTTTTCCTTTTCTTAAAATATGTTGAGAATATACATTGATGAAAAAAATTTTAACATATATTGGGGAAATATAGTGATGAAAATCGTGTGTGTTTTTCTTTCAAGTATAGATCTAGTGAAAAATGAAATTTACAGGAAAATAACAATTCATGTAATCGGGAGTTCAAAGAGTTTCCCTATCAAATTACTTAATTCATCTGTTAAAAAAATCATTCTTATTCAAGGGTCATGATATAGCCTTTGATGAGCTATCATGAAGCATGGTGAAGAAGCTGGCATGGCTATTTATATCCTCTATGGAAAATCACAGCATGTGTTTGGATGTCCTCATTGGTATGTTTCCACATCCATTATTCCATCTTCCCTGTCTTGGCACCTGCTCACCTGTGGCTATCAACAGTGGGAACCACTGCATAGAGTCTCCATTTATGGATCTAATAATCCTGACTATGTAAAGAGAAAGAACATAATGTACCTTTTTTTTGTACTTGTACACTTCATTACCACAAAGTGCTCACAGATGCCAGGCACTGGTAATTCACTCGTGTAATCCTAGCTAGTCAGGAGGCAGAAATCAGGAGAATGGTGGTTGTAAGCCAACCCAGGCAAATCCTTCAATAGATCCTATCTGGAAAATACATGTTTCCAAAATCGGCTTGCAGAATTTCTCAAGTGGTAGAGGGTAGAAAGCCTGCCTAACAAGCCTGACACTCTGATTTTAAACCCCTATAGCACAAAAAAAAAAAAAGTCACATGTACTAATTATAACCCAGCCTTGTTAATGATTCAAGTTTATCCTGTCCTATTTTGTTCTGTTCCTTCTGCATCACCATGCTCATGTCCTGTCATCCAAAGGAGAGATGGAGCCTTGGGGAAGTAAACATTCAGCTTCTGAGAAGTAATCATAAGCCAGGAAAGACCCAGATGCCCAAAACCCATGAACTTCACTTAAAAGCCCAGCTTCCACTTAGTACACTCCAATACTTCCTTGACTCCTTGCATAGCTGTATTCATGAGTGTGCCTGGGAGATTAATAAAGCTTTATTCCTTTTCTCCATAAACCCTACTCTTTGTATCTAGGCCAGGGTGTAGAATTTCAGTAACATTAAAAATCCCTCATGGTTTGGAATCTTATAATTACATGTCTTAGAGCTACAATTACTTAGAATGCTCTAGAAATTGCACAAGCTGAAGGAAATACTACAAAAGCTCTATCTGTATTGTTTAATTACCTGCTGAATTTTTTCATTTTTGATAGTACTGGGGTTTTATATAGGACCTCAGACTTGCTGTACAGGCATTCTACCACTTGAACATATTCACAACCCTAGTGACTCAAATTTTGTTGTCGTATCAGGTGTTTGAATTCAGGGCTTCAGCTTGCAAACCAGGAACTTGAGTCATTCCTCCAGTCCATTTTGATCTGGTTATCTTGGAGATGGGTTCCCTCAAGCTATTCTGTTGGCCTGGCCTTGAACCTTGATCTTCCTGGATCTATGTCTCCCAAGTAACTAGGATTACAGGTGTGAGCGCCTGGCACCTGTCACTTGGCTTATTCTTAAAGGGAATCTCTGCTATTTATTTCTTACTATCTCCTTTGAAAAGAAATGTTGAGGTGACACAATTCTGTCTTTTTATTCAAAATAGGTCATGGTTAAATGGGTCTTTTTCTCCCCCTTTCGTTTTGAACCATGTTGATCCATGTGTAAGCATAGATATTTTTCTTTTATGCTGAGAGGCTCGATTTTTAGATAGTTTTGAAATATTTATGTATAAAGGTTGTTAAGGAAGGAATTTTTGTCAGTTGTTGGGATTTAATTAAACCATATCTTTGCATTACTTACTTTTCTTGTTCTTGTAAACCAGTAACCTGAGTGAAACAACTGAGAGGGGGATTTATTCATACTGGGGTTTCAAACATGTAGCTGTACTGTGCAGTTGCACCATGGTAGGTAAGCAAGCACCTTTCCCTCACTGTGAACCTTTTCCTTTTTCCGTCTGCCTCTCTGGTCCTCTCCTCCTCTATGTCCAGTACATCAGTAGACATGAAATGCCAATTCTAAATTCCCCCGTTCAGAAGGGTGAGTGTGCCCCAAGCATCCATTCTTGGAAAGCACCTTGTAAATGATGCACCTCTCACCTTGGGAGAACTGATTGTGTTTTTCTACCCCTTAATCTCCAGTGTTCATTTATGAGCCTGTGTACAGAATGGCAAAGAAACATGTCATAGTAATTCTTAAACACACAGAATCAGAACCTGAGCATGTGGCACAAGTGTCCCTTCATTTTGGACACTTTGTGAATGAGTCATCTTTGTCCTAATATGAATCATTTCTGTTTTCCAGCATTAGTGTTCATTGCTCATTATGGGCCAGCACACAGTATGTCAGAACAAGATGACAGTGATTATAGAACAGACAGAAGGTTGAAAGTGAGACACAATACGGTCTTAGGCTTTTTAGGCAGGTACTCTTGCCACTTGAGCCACTCTGCCAGCCATTTTTTTGTGTTGGATTTTCTTAAAATGGGGCTTCTCACTGAGATCCTCCTGTTCTCTGTCTCCTGAGTAGCTAGGATTACATGCGTGAGCCACCAGTAGCAGGCAAGTGGGGACTTTTAAGCAGTATTTATGGGATGAGGTCTGGGCCTCATTTATTAATGACCCTATATACAGGGCATGTGGTAATGAGCTGGAGTTGTGTCACCCAATCACATCTGACAGGATCTCACATGAAGACCCTCATCAAGCATTGGTATTATGTCCTTGGACTTTCCAAACCCCAAACCTGAGGAAACACACTTTTAGAGTTTTGTTTTGTGACATTACTGAGATTTGCCCTAGGGCCTTGGGGTTGCTAGTTCATTCTGCCACTTGGGCCTCTTATCTTAGCTAAAATTCTTTTTTTAATAAAATACCCAAACTGGGGTATTTTGTACACACACAAAATAGACAACACTAAATTTAAGTGGCTTTGAGTAGAATGTTGTTAGAGACACAGCACAGGCCACTCTCATGAGCCTCAGAAATGAGGTCTTGTTGGATACTTAGATGGAAATTGCCATCCTTATTACCAAGTGACATCCTTATTATCAGCTAGCTAAGACAAAAGTAAGCAAAATTTAAATAGTGTGCTGACCACAAGTGGCCCACGCCTGAAATCCTAGCTACTTGGGAGACAGATGAGGATCGTGATTTGGGGTAGTGTAGGCATAGGTTGCAACAGGTCATCATTAAAATATCCAGAGAAATGACTGTAGGTATGGCTCAAGCAGTAGAGCACCTGCTTTGCAAGCTCGAAGACCTCAGTTCAAACCCCAAGTCCCACTACAAAAAAACCTTGTGAATGTAAAAATCATTGCAGATTTGTCATTTAATGCCAGTACTTTTAACTCCCTGAAGTAGCAGGAAAAGACACCCACAAAATACCCACAGCTATAATTTTAGTCTAATACTAAATCATCTTACAAGACCTACTCAATGAAGTTTATTTTACCCTTTTGCTCTCTTTATTCCTCCTGCTGGGGAATGCACAGCACTCCTTCAGCCACCTGCTGGACCACGATGCTCCTCATTTCCCTTCCTGGAAGGACAGAAGGAGCCTTTGAGGACAAAACATGCATTTCTAGGACTGGTGCCAGTAAGGCAGGAAAGACCCATAAGCCCATAACTCCTGGGTTTGCATTTCCCTGATTTGTCATCAAGAGGAGACCACGGAGAGGAGTTTTTGGACACTTTAATCACTAAGAGCAGAGTTACCTGGTTTTATACCTCTTAAATTTTGCCTCTTTACTATGGCTGCGCATATATCACTACTATTATGCTGGAAATTTTTGGTTCCTTTGCCTTAATCCCTTGCACATATGGTGAAAGGTAAAGGCTGTACCTTTACCTTTACCTTGCTTCCTCAGTGATTGCTCTGCCTGTGGGGTTGTAGGGTTCAGATTGTTTCAAGTTTGTCTTCTGATGTTGACAATCTTGTACTTTTTTGTGTATATGGCAATAGAGTTAGAACTTAGGGTCTCATGCTTGCTAGGCAGGTGCTCTTACAGCTTGATTCACTCTGCCTGACATTTTTGGATGTATTTATTGTGTTTTTTTGGCAGCTCTGGCAATGATCTAATTCATTTCCTCTTACCCAGGTGAGCTACAGCACATTTCTGTATGACTATATCCTGTGTTTTACTGATTACCTCTGCAATTGAGCATTTTTCCTATGTGGGCTTTTATGGACTGTGTAAATTGTTTCTTTGTCTCTCCTCCCTCCTCCTTTCTCTTTAAGCTATATAAAGTTTTTTTTCATTTCAATTCCAGTTTTTATAGTATATAATAACAAAACCATGATTTTTTTTTCAAGCGTCGGGCAACTAATCATTCAAATGTTCATGGGTCACAGCACGGCACAGACACAGACTTAGAACTTGTCACAGCAGCCACACCTGCAAGGTCTCTAAGGGCAGGATATGAGGAATTTGATGTATAGTGAAGTTTAACGTCTCTTTATGGGTCTCTTCTTTCCTCCCTCCCTCT